GGGGGAAGGCCGCCCCCCCCACCGCCGCCGGGCGGGCGGGGAGCAGGGCGGCGGCGGGGGGGAACAGCGAGGCCCGGGCGGCTGAAGCTTCCCGATGCCTCGCTACGAAGGCGGGGTGGGGGGGAAGAGCCGAGGGGGACGGGGGTGTACTTACCTCTGCCTTCTGCTTCCTCTGCCTCCCTTCCGCGGGCCCCGCCCCTTGGAAGGTGGGAAGGGGAAGGGGCAGGGAAGGGGTGAGTAGACCTGGCCTCCGGAGGCCAGGTCTACCCATGCAATGGGAAGGGTTGGGTAGACCGGGACTCCTCTGGAGGCCAGGTCTACCCCTGCAACGGGAAGGGTTGGGTAGACCTGGACTCCTCCGGAGGCCAGGTCTACCCATGCAATGGGAAGGGGTGGGTAGACCTGGACTCATCGGGGCACTTGGGGGGGGAGGGGGAGGTTTGTGCACTCCATAAATTTATGGAGAAGAAGTGGGGATTTTTTAATAGATGCAGACGCTGTGGTAGCAAACTTGCTCCTCCAGATCGTCACACCCTCTGCATCTTTTGCCTTGGGGAGTCTCACAAGCCAGAGTCCTGCCGTCATTGTGCGCTTTTCTCCAACCAAACGAGGAAGAACTGCGCTGCACGCCTTAAAGTGGCACTGCTTGAATTGGCCCTTGCTCCTGCCTCAGAGATGGAGGAGAGGCCATCTACATCGACAGCTCCGACACCGAGGCCTGCCTTCGATGTCGATCGCCCGACACCGAAGCTCCCGACATCGAAGGTACGATCGTCTACTTCCACGCCAGTCAAAAAGAAGGCTAAGGCAAGTACAGAGCATAAGTCCGCGAAAAAGGGCACCTCCAAGTCCCTTAAGGCGGCGAAGAAGGGGAAGGAAGCGGTGCCTGCACTGGATGATGCCCCTATAGTGCCTCCCGCTCCAACGGCAGTATCGATATCGGAGGCCCAAGTCCCTCCACTGATACCGACCATCCATGTATTGGACTCCCCTGTCCACCAAATGGAGCCTCCTTACTCTGACATCGAAACGGTAGAGCTCCTAAGTCATCAGATGGATGCAGAGCATTCTCCGCCTCCTTCTCTGTTGTTGACATCAACGGTATCGGAAGCTCCCGACATCGATCCACGTCGGCACCGATATACCTCGTGTGACATGCAGCGTCATTCTCCACGTCTGCACACTCAATCTGTCGATATTGACACCCGCGACTACAGGAACAACTCCCACAGACACGCCACTGCCTTGTCTCCCAGACGTCCACGGTCCAGAAGTCGCTCCCCAAGAGTCTTCCTGCCCCCTTCCACCAATGGCATGGGATGAAAGACAGTCGCAGTACCTGTATGGGGCTTATCCA